AACCAGACCTGGTTTTAATGTCATCAGGTCCAGAACAGAACCAGACCTGGTTTATTGCAGTGGCCCCTGAGGGCCCAGAATATTGAAAAGCTAACAGAGTAGATGAAGCTCTCAGCAGTCAGACAGAACCCATCAGCAACCATCTTAGAAGCTGTTATTTCCAGAAAGCACCTGAAGGCAGCACTTTATGGTAAATGGACTGTACTCATAGCCCCTTTCTATCTTATCAAGATACTCAAAGCTCTTTACAACACAATCCATGTCCTCATTTACACATCACTCTACTAGATCTACCCGGTATACAAATAACACTCAGAGCTTTATCACATTCATACACTGATGGGACACACATTGGAGGCAATGAGGGGTTCAGTGTCTTGCCCAGGGATACTTCAGCATGTAACTGCTGGTGGGATCGAACCCCCAACTCTCGCATTGGAGGATGACTGCTCTAACCACTCAGCCACAGCCGCCCACTTTAGCCATATCCATTGATTGATCTGCGACGTCAGCCTGATGGAGACTCCATCAGCAGCTCTTCGTGTTGTTGATGATGTTTTTTAGCTGTTAGCAGTAACGAGTCCCTACAGACCCTCAGGATAATGGAGTCAGCTGATGTTCTGTCTGCTGCATTAACATTTCCTGGAACACAAACTCATCTTCCTGCATTCAGCATCCTCATCATCTGATCTGAGGTCAGCCCTAACAGGAAGACTGATGCATTCACAAACCTATCAGGACATTTTTTAAATGGTGTCCTCAACAGTCCACAGCTAAAGGACTCTAAAGATCTGAAGCTCTCGACCTTGACCTCTCTTAGTGGCTTTAAACAACCGTTAAGTTCCTGGCAAGAACCAATGCAGACATGTTCTTGTTTTTAGTATTTTACATCGCTTTATAATGTAGCTGTTTTTTTCAATACTTTTCCTTTTAATTATCCTTTTTAATTACCATTTTATTTTGACTTGTTAATTTTTTTATTTATTTGTACGCATCCTCTATTGTTGTCTTTGTTAAAATCAGGTCTCTCTTGTAATGAGTTCCCGAGGCTCAATGGGACCAACCTGTTTAAATAAAGGTTGAATTAATTTCTATCTTAACATGTGTTTTTTGTCTTTCCTCCTATAGAAAGTTCACCTGGACCTGTTATGTCTGTTTCTACTTCCTGTCCTCTCAAACCCCAGCCGGTCAAAGCAGATGACCACTCGTCCTGTGCCTGGTTCTGCTGGAGGTTTCTTCCTGTTAAAATGGAGTTTTTCCTTCCCACTGTCTCCTTTGTGCTTGCTCAGGATGGGAGACTGTGACGAAGTGAAGATTCAACACAATCTGCTGCTTTCATACATAGATAGCTTTTACTGATTGACTCTTATAACGTATGTGAATGTTTTTGTTCAGTGCACTGAGACGACTTCTGTTGTGACTTGGAGCTACAGAAATAAACTGAACTGAATTGAATTGGTTGGTTGGTTCATTCTTTCAGCAGACGACACAACAGAGTTTGACCAGCAGGAGGTTCTGTTGTCATCATGTTTTATCCATAAATGAGGTGTTTCTAACTGAGAGAATGAAAACATGATCCATGTGTTTGTGACGACGTGCAGCAGGTCAGATGTTACCTGAACTTTAAGGTGGAGTGTGTCCTCTCATTGGACCTGTTCTGGGTTTTTCTAGGAGACTGCTGGCTGCTTGCTGCAATTGGCTCTCTAACTTTGAATGAACAGCTGCTACATCGTGTGGTTCCTCACGGCCAGAGCTTCACCCATCAATATGCTGGCATTTTCCACTTCCAGGTGAGAGTCTACCTGTCAACAAGCCACACCCACTGCCCTTCATGACAAAGAGGCATGCTGGGAGGCATTTGATGACAGATTCTCTAACTTTTATCCTAATGTGATCTCTGTTCAAAAAAACTTTGGATTTTGTCTGTCTGTCCATTTGCCTGTCTTTCTTTCTGTTTGTCTGTCCATCCGTCCGTCTCTTAGTCTGTCCTTCTGTCCATCCGTCTCTCTGTCTTCAGTTCTGGCAGTTCGGGGAGTGGGTGGACGTGGTGATCGATGACCGTCTGCCGGTGAAAGACGGGGAGCTGCTCTTTGTCCATTCTGCTGAGGGGACAGAGTTCTGGAGTGCCCTGCTGGAGAAGGCCTACGCCAAGTAAGACCATCCATCCACCATCCATCTGTCATCCATCCATCCACAGATCCATCCAACCAACCATCCATCCAACCATTCATCCATCCATCCACAGATTAATCCATCCAACCATTCATATACCCCTCCCTCCATCCATCCATCCATCCATCCATCCAACCAACCATTCATCCATCCATCAACCATTCATCCATCTATCCATCCATCCATCCATCCAATCATCATCCATTCATGTATGTTTGTTTGTGAGTGATCTGGTGTTTCCTGCTGATCCTAGAACCTTCTGCATGTTCTGAACTTACCTGACTCTATTGTCTTTTCTAAACCCAGATGAACTCTCGACCTAGTTCTGCTGATGTTCTGGTGATGTTGTGTTCCTGTCTTTCTCTTTGCATGTCCTCAGGTTGAATGGATCCTACGAGGCGTTGTCTGGAGGCAGCACCACTGAAGGTTTTGAGGACTTCACAGGTGGTGTGTCAGAGATGTACGAGCTGAAGAAGGCTCCCAGAGATCTTCATCGTATCATCATCAAAGCTCTGGAAAGAGGCTCTCTGCTGGGTTGCTCCATCGACGTCAGTCACTGTTCCTTGTACTTTTTTCACCACATCAGCTGGTGTTTCTCTCCACCTAATGAGTCTGCTCTGCCCTCAGATCAGCAGCGCCTTAGACATGGAAGCCGTCACCTTCAAGAAGCTGGTTAAAGGCCACGCCTACTCCGTGACAGGCCTCAGACAGGTGAGTCGGGCTGATTCTTCTGTTGAACCTACAGCAGCATGTTGATTTGTCCTCGTTGTGTTTCAGGTTGGTTCTGAAACAAGACAACAGCACCGTGGGCATCTAATTTATAAGAATTTTGTATTGATCTATTCAGGAAAAGTCTAGAAACAAACCAGGACAGTTCAGAAAATGAAGCAGTTGGACCTTATTCTGTAAAGATGAGTGTCTTCCCACCATCACTTCAGACCTGCAGGTTGTGGAGCTCTGAGCTTCAAACTGCAGGAGAAACTTTGTTTCTGTAGAATCATCACAGGACTGGTCTGGATTGAAATCACCCTGGTCAGGTCCACATTTCTTCTTTGTGTTGTGTTTTTCTTAAGCCTGGATGTCTTCACTGCAGGTGGAGTATCGTGGCCGGCAGGAGCGTCTGATCCGGATCAGGAACCCCTGGGGTCAGGTGGAGTGGACCGGAGCCTGGAGCGACAGGTGAGTACCCCACATGCCTGTATGTGAACAAAGTGCTCAAACACTGAGGTAAACTTTCACGTTTCAGTTCCTCAGAGTGGAACCAAGTGGACTCTGCAGAGAAGGATGAGTTGCTGTGTAAGATGGACGATGGGGAGTTCTGGTAGGTCCATTCTGAAAGAATAACTCTAAACCCTGGAGCTCCAGAGCCCAGTAAGATTTATTTCTGTGTCAGGATGTCGTTCCAGGAGTTTCTGCGTCAGTTTTCACGTTTGGAGATTTGCAACCTGACTCCAGATGTTCTCAGTCAAGACACCACCAGCTTCTGGGCCACCACCACATTTAAGGGCAGCTGGAGGAAAGGAAGCACCGCCGGTGGCTGTAGGAACCACCCAAGTGAGTACAGAAGGGGCAGATAGATACTGGTCTAAGTTTTAGAGTCAGAGTCACAGGTGAGGGACTAAAATTTGGAAGACAACAAATCAGGGCCTCATGTATCAAAGAGTGCACAGTTTTCATTCTGAAAGTTGTAAGAACAAAATGAGGAAAGTGTGTGCGCACTGAAACATTCAGATGTATCAAACTGTGTGCATGGATGTCTCTGTTCACCTTTCCATCAAACATTCTGATGAACAGAACTGAGACTCCTTCCCTGACACGCCTCCTTTTAAACATGTAAAATAGATGCAAATGTCTTCTGCAGGTGGAATTCTCCTCTCTGTACGTTAAAAATAATGTCTAGATACAGCAGAATGGAATTAAATTAAACCCATTTTCCATTAAACTCCATTAATGAGTTTAATGGAATGAGTCACAGACACCCCTAAATAATTAGTAGGTGTAAAAACATGTTTATCCATTGGTTCTTCTTCAACAGCAAGATTCTTCTATGTTTTTTACTGTTAGCTGGTTGGATGCTAAATGGTTTGTTGGTTAGAGGTTTTTAGATTAGTGGATGTCATGTTGTTGGTTGGTTGGTTGATTGGTTGGTTGGTTAGTTGGTTGATTGGTTGGTTGGTTGAGTTTTT